ATTCAGTCACTCCTCCACCAGTGGTGACTAACCCAAACCCCACATACACCTCCCACACCTCACGCTGCCTCACACGCACCAGGGATCTGCCTGCATATTGGCAGATCCCCACCAGCCTCACATGCATAAAAGATAAACACTAGCGAGGAGACATCGCCCCCTAGTGTGAGACAACAGTCAGCATTTCTGATGTGCTCCGACACCGAGCCACACAGGCATGGGCCTGTTTAAAAGCAGCCGTAAGTAGAATCTCCATGCAAAGGCTTATGCTGGGTGTACCTGCCCCCCCGCCCCAAGCCAACTGCACCTCCCGGCTAAATGCAGGCTGACAAAAGGCGTCCTGCTTTCGCGTATCTGCAATGTTGTGCTTCTCACCAATAGGTTACTGGTTCAGTTCCCAGGGTGGCAAGGATGATCCCTGAGTTTGGGACATCCCTGTACAGAGTAACCATCCTGCATTTCCATGCCATCGCCAGTCTCCTCGCCAAGCGCTCGCTGCAGCTCTGTTCTTTCTGTCTTTTGATCTGATACCAATGATTCTGTTGAAAAATGTGTGTTTTCATCCTTATCGTGAGAAATATGAGAACTGACATCCACCGACATGATGCAATAGATCATCTTTTGCTACCCATCCTGCCCCTGTTCTCCCCCAAAAAGCTGGAATCCGCAGGGGCAGACTCTTCTGGATGTTGTGTACTAACTCTAAAACCCAACACACCTGTAAAGACTTTTTGATTAAAATTGCCCGATTTGCTGGTTAAACAGCACATGCATACTTCCTTCCTGCTGGGCTTCACCCGAACGTGACCCCACATGATGAAAGAAGCAGAATTCTTGCAAAACCTGTGTGTGCTAAACTCTGCTTCTCCATCTGCCTGTAGCCTCTCTCTCTCGCGTGCTCCTCAGTACTGCTCCATGCCATCACCCATGCTTTCACAGAGCTGACCACATCCTTCCATTGTTCTTAACTTCAGACAACGGCACAGTCTCAAAAGCGAAGGATCCATACAGGACACCAGGGGGCAGCAGCGAGAGCGTGAACAGCCCAGAGGGTGTGCTTGGCCGACAGAAGGGCGTGAAACTCGGGTACTCTGCACACTCTACCTCAGCCATCCATGCCATGTCTGACACCCGGCCAGGCTGTAGCCCCCAGGGTAGGTTGCTGGGTTTGTAGATCTCTCTGAATCTGCCTGGGGAGGAAAGCTGAAGGTTGTTATTTCTCCAGGATTCAGCTCCGAAGCTTCCCCGGCCGCACATCTCGCCAGCTTCGGACATCAGACCAAAGGTAACGGAGTTAGGCTGAGCTCTGAGGGAAAGTGCAGGGGCTCCTTCTGAAACCCTTCAGCACCTCGACCCGGTTCTGCTGAGGTCAGCTGGCAGTCACCCAGCCTTGGGTCACCAAGCAGCTCCAAAGGTTACGGGGGCCCCGGGCCGTCAGCGATGCACCGTTAGCGTGACACACGGCCGTGGTTCTGGGGTGGGGTCCGGCTGACTCTTCAAACAGAGAACTGAGACTTCCCAGGATTCTTAGCTGTCATGTTGACAGTTGATTAACAGAAGCCTCCCCACACCCTGACAGACGTAAAAATAACCTCTGCTGTTAATGGTTTGCAAACTTCTGTTTTTTATTATTCCCTAAATGAAACCAGCATAAGGTCAGCAATACAAACGCTTCAGTGAATGTTGTGCGTCTCCCACATCTTCCCTGACATTGAAATTCATCTCTTCCTCTCTGCTTCCCTCTGGTCTCATGCTCAGATTCGTTCGCCTGTGATGATGCCACTGATCCACACTGGGAGCTGAAGGCAGAAGAGGGCGTCACATTCCCCGATGACCCATGGCGACAGGAGGGCCTGGCTCTCCCCGGCCATCCTCGCCCCTCTTCTCCTGGCAGTGAGATGGTCACCCTGGCAGAGTTTCTGCAGGAGAGCAGTGTTCTCTCAGCCCCTATTGTAAGGATGCTGCCTGCCATAACAGTGCTGATTTAAAGAAAAAAAATATCAGTCTTTATTAGCAGATTTTGATTGTCAACAAAAATCTCTCATCCAGGTCAGGCTGGTGGGGGGGGTTTGGCATCCCATCAGTACATGAACACACTCACTACAGGCTATTTAAAGACACCGATTAGCCTAACTGCATGTTTCCGGACTGTGGGAAGATACCCACACAACCAGAAGAGAGCAGGGGGGTGTTCTTCATATGTGGATTAACAAACCTTCAGATTTCATCATTGAAGATTTGGCTAGATCTCGGATTCCTCGGCTCTTTGAAACACTCGTCACTGCTTGGAGCAGGTTTATTCAATGTAAACAAGATCAGATCACAGATATAAACAGAGCTCTGTTCACTCTGGAAGCCCATCCAACCATGCCTGTGCCTTTCTTACAAGAGGAACCGATTGGTGCAATCAAAATAATTGTGTCTATACACACACAGCGATTGGACAATGAAACTCAAACACCTGGTTTTAGACAACAATAATTTATTAGTATGGTGTTGGGCCTCCATTTGCAGCCAGTACAGCATCAGTTTGTCATGGGAATGACAGATACAAGTCCTGCACAGTGGTCAGAGGGATTTTGTGCCGTTCCTCTTGCAGAACAGTGGCCAGGTCATTATGTGATGCTGGTGGAGGAAAACATTTCCTGACTCACTCCAAAACACCATAAAGTTGCTCAATAATATTCAGATCTGGTGACTGCACAGGCAATGAGAGATGTTCAGCTTCACTTTCATGTTCAGAACAACCACACTCACACCCAGGTCTTGCTGTGTGTGTTGGTGCATTATCATCCTGATACACAGCACCACCTTCAGGGTACAGAATTTTAACTATTGGGTGAACATGGTCCTCCAGAATGGCTCGGTAGTGCTTGGCAGTGACGCACCCATCTAGTACACATACTGAGTGTAGGCAATGCTATGATGTTGCAGCCCAGACATTTGCTGACCCATCTCGGTGCTGCACTGTGGGTATGCAGCAGGCTGGCTGGTATAGCAGCCTGACCATGAATACTGACCCTGTGCAGTTCCCAATAAGCAGTTTTGGTGCAAATAGGAGAGTTGAGGTGTGCATTTAATTCTGCAGTGAGTTTGGCAGCTCTGGCTTTATGTTTTTTGGACACAATCTGGGTTAGTACCTGGACATCCTGTTCACACCTTCCTCTTGTGTCCACAGGTACTGCTATTGCATGTGGTCTGTCCTTTGTGGTCTTATGTCGCTCTCAATACTCCACAAAGACTGACTGTCCTGCTCACATATGTGCCAGGAAGATGCACACCAACAACTTGTCCTCTTTTAAACTCTGATATGTCTCCCATTATAGTGTGTGGATTGCAGTATTTTATGTACAGCTATGCTAATGCTCTGCTAATCCAACCTTCACACACTGTTCTTACTTGTGGAATGTGCAGTCAGTGAAGACTGAGCAGCAGGCTGTGCATATGTGGGTATGAAACTGCAAACACTTTACTAGTGTTAGTTTCATTGGCCAATGTGTTAGTGTTTGTGTAGGTGTGTGTGTGTGTGTGTGTGTGTATATACACGCACAGCTCTGGGGAAAAACCGAGACCACAGCACAATTGTGTTTGTGTCACGCAATTCTCAGTTTTTGGGTGTGTCTCTGTGGAGGTTTTTTTTTTGACACACACTGCTGTTTCCTCCACCTTCACATGCACAAACTTCAGATGTAGTTGGCTGTCTTTAATAGCTTTCCAGTATGTAATTGGCCTGATGAGAATCTGAGCTTGGCCCTTGTATGACTTTCTTTTTTCATTATTGCTCATTGCATGTATGTAGGATTCTCCTATACACGCCAATAAACATCTGGAGCCATCACAATGCACATATCAGTCCAAACAATCAACAAACTTATGTCTAGTTACTAATTTATTTTCTAATCCAAGAAATTGGTAAGATGAATTATGCCACTGGACAGATTGCCCCCCATGGGTTATCATGGAAGTTCATTTTTGCAGTGTTTTCTGTATGTGGGTCTCTGTGTGACTCCTTTTCCACCATCTCTAGGTGAAAGCCAGTAGCTGGGAGGACATGCCAACCCCTGATGCCTGCCACTCCCCATCTTTGCAGGACGGAATCAAGGCACCTACCAGTTGTTCGACGCCCACTGTGAAGCCCTTGCCCCTAGGGGGCACCAGAGAGCCCAGAGCCCAAAAGCCAGGGCAGAGCGTAAAACCGAACGTACGAGTGCCAGAGATACCTAATTCTTCACAGCAGTCTCAAACATTGCCCAGCTGGGTGGGTGGCAGCTTGGGGATGAGGGCCTGTCCCTCACAGCCAGTAGACACTCGTGGGGGCCTGAGTCGGACCTTCAGCCTGGCATCGGCTGACCTTCTGCATTCCAGTGGCCCTGAGAGCTACAGGCCGGAAGGGAGTGACTGGGGCTCAGGGGATGCGGTGTTGAGGGCGCGGGTGTTGGCCCGAGAGAAGCCTCAGTCCGTCAGACTGGGGGGGCCTTCCACGCCACCTGTGGATGTGGGCTGTCGGCCCCTGGACCCACGCAGACTGTCCCTCGCTCCACCCAAGGAGAGCTTTTCCCTGGAATCCCCACTGCCTCTGCCGCAGCACCACTCCTCTTCCTTCTCCTTATGCGGGAGCCCTGGCTACACCTCCAGGCATGACGTGACAGAGCAGCCCCCCACAGGTAACCGAGGCAGTCCCCAGCTGCCTCAGCATCGTGCCACTGAGGTCGCCATGGTGACACCAGTGCAAGCAGTGCCGGTTCTTAAGGAGGAGGAGGAGAGGGAGGTGTGGCAGGACGTCCGACGGGAGAGCTCCCCCCAGATAAAGGGGCAAGAGGCACTTGGGGTTCTCAGCATCACGGACAAATATCCCAAGAGCACTCCTGCCCCCCCAACCCCCAGCGAGGACCCTCAGACCATCTGGTATGAGTATGGCTGTGTGTAGAGGATAGAAGAGCTTCTGAAAGCCCTATGACTGTGTGCTGGCAGCGTCCTGCAGACACACACTTCCACACATCCCAGGACAGGATTCTTAAGGCAGAAGGGTTCTGAATGGCTTGGACAAGCACTTGGAACCGTCTAAGAAGAGGCAATCTCCACTCAACTTTCTTCTACAAAGGGTGGAAGAAAACTGGCCCTAGTTTAGTCTGAACTGATTATGTGAAGGATGCAGCTTAGTCCTACACTAGATAATATCTACACTTGGATGGAAGCTTTTACGTCCACGGTTGACTTTTAGCGCTGAGTACGTTATTGTTTTCCTGGTGAGGACTACATGTGGAATGGGAACTGGCCCGCCTCCAGCAGTTCCATTCAGGACCAAAGGGTGACGATGTGTGGATGACGGACGATAAGAACCCACCTTTTAACTGGATGTTTTTATAAACTTAACTTTTTGTTTGCTATTGGTGGACTTTGTATGCAAAAAAACTTGAACTGTGTCTGTGTCCAAAGAAGAAGAATAATGAAAGTGCACATTTGAGAGGCTAATCCCATAGTGCTCTTGCAAACACTGAACATTTTTATTGTTGCACATAATTTTGTTGTAAAAACCCAGGTCAGGCTTAGATAGGCCCGCGGGGGGGAGGTAACGGGTGCATTATTGTGTCTGTCTACTGTATCAATCGTGTCAAAACAAAATGGCTGCATTAAAGTCTAAATATGAAGTAGGATGGAGTTTGAACACTGGATGGCTTTCTTACTCTATTAAATAACTTCCTTTTTACTTCCTGCCTGTGTCGTAATGCATTTCGCAGTTTAGTTGTTTCACCAGGCAAATAGGGGAATTGGGAAATGTGGGAGGGGAACTTGAAAATGTGAAAAAATGTACGAATTTTAGATTAGATTGAACTTTGTCATTTTTATGAGTACAGGTACAGAGCCTGTGAAATCATCTAGCCAGGTGGAAATGAAATGTATACAAATACAATAAATTACTGATAAATTACAAATATTAGGGATGCGCCGATACTGTGCTCTTATGCTCCTACTTGTAAAAAATGTCATACCAAGAACCGATACCACTTAACTGCAACATGATATTGGAACTATAAAAGCCGCAGCTGTGTACGAGGAGGATGTCAGCAGTTTGGACAAATCTTGAGATAAGGGACAACGACAGAAATAAAGCCGTCTAAGCTCTGTTCTGCTAAAGTGTCAAGAGGAGGAAGGGACAGCTTGTTATATAACACAATCGTATATTATATAATAAATGTAGCATATTCACGCATATATATATATGTGTGTGTATATATACAGTACTGTGCAAAAGTCTTAGGCAGTCCAAAGAAATGTTTAAAGCTGTTTATCTAGGTAGCAAGTGTACTTTGGCTTGGAACAAAAAACACAATTTAACATTAGAACATATGCAAATTAAGAGTAACACAATAAAAACTAGTAATAATTTCTCCTTTTCTAAAAAGTTACTGATATCTAGTTCTGAAATGGCTACGCTGACACACTTTGACAGGAATAATATCATAGTTTTACACCAACACAAGGATAATTTAAACATTTTCTTTCCCTGCCTAAGACTTTTGCACAGTACTGTACAGTGATACCTCAAAACTCGAACTTAATCCGTTCAGAACTCCAGGTCAAATCCTAAAAAGTTCAAGTTCTGATCGAATTTTCCCCATAAGAAATAATGGAAAACCAATTAATTGGTTCCCAGCCCCCAAAAATTACACCTAAATATGTTTTTTTAGCATTTAAACACAAAATGAACCGGATAAAACAAGAAGAGCATATACTGTACTAAACACAACTGTTTTTATCAAAACAGTAATTTGTAAAGTAAGAAAATAAATGTATCCAAACAACGTGCAAAGTTAAAAAAAAAAAAACAATATGTCCTGCCCAGATTGTCCGCTCCTTCCGTATGCCACTCCCCCTCGTTAACCCCGTGTGGAATCCCCGTTTGATCAGCTGTTTCTGGTTATTAGTCCTCTGTATTTAGTCTGCGTTTCAGTTTCCCCAGTCCGGTCATTGTATTGTCCGTCTGCGTTTTGCCTGCCTTACCTGTAATTAAACCCCGTATTCCCCGATACCCTGATGTCTGCGCCTTTGTCTCCGTTCCGTCCCCGCTCAGCACAACAATATTATTATAATTAAATGTATTAATGGTTTATTATTAATATTAAAATAATAAGAAATCTTTATTTTTAAATGTATTTTATTATATAATAATAATTACTGTTACTGTCTATAATTGTCTAAATGTATTTCTACTGTCTAAATATATGTATTCAGTTAGTGTAAACATGCACGGTGTTTTCACAGCGAATGCGAGGCTGAGACTGAAGCGTTACCCTTTGTTTCCGCTGAGAGACGTGCTGCGTGACTCATTTCCCGGCGGGTGATTGTGCTGGGAAATAGGACAAGATGCAATATACACTGAGCAGCCATAACACTAACACCACTGACAGGTGGAGTGTGCCATTATATATTGGGCAAGTGAACAGTCAGTCCATGAAATCGACATGTTGGAAGCAGGACAATGGGCAAGTGTTAGGATCTGAGTGACTGACATTAGCTAAAATGTGATGGCTAGACGACTGGGTCAGAGCATCTCCGAAACAGTAGGTCTTGTGGGGTGTTCTTGGTATGCAGGGGTCAGTACCTACCAACAGTGATCTAAGGAAGGCCAACCAGTGAACCAGCGATGGGGTCATGGGTGACCAAGGCTCATTAATGCTCATGGGGAGTAAAGGATAGCCTGTCTGGTCCGATCCTACGGGAGAGCTACTGTAGCACAAATTACTGAAAAGTTAATTATGTTTATGATAGAAAGGTGCCAGAACATGTGAGTGTCAGAACCAGCCATGGAGCAATGGAAGAATGTGGCCTGGTCTGATGAGTCAAGTTTTCTGTTACATCATGTAGATGGCCATGTGCATGTGTATTGTTTACCTGGGGAAGAAACTGCACCAGGATGCACTGTGGGGACAAAGGCAAGCCAGTGGGGGCATTGTCATACTCTGGGCAACATTTTGCTGGGAAACCTTAAGTCCTGGCATTCAGGTAGATGTTATTTTGATGTGTACCACCCCCCTAAACATTGTGGCAGACCAAGTACCCTCCCTTCATGGCAACGGTATTCCCCAATGGCAGTGGCCTCTTTCAGCAGGATTATACACTGCAGTAATTGCTCAGGAATGGCGTGAGGAGCATGAAAAAGAGTTCAAGGTGTTGACTTGGACACCAAATTTCCCAGATCTCGATCTCAATCTCAATCCGATCAAGCATCTGTTGGATGTGCTGGACAAACAAGTCTGACTCATATAGAGGCCCCACCTTGCAGCTAACAGAACTTAAAGATCTGCTAACGTCTTGATGCCAGATACCACAGGACACCTTCAGAGGTCTTGTGGAGTCCAGATACCACAGGACACCTTCAGAGGTCTTGTGGAGTCCAGATACCACAGGACACCTTCAGAGGTCTTGTGGAGTCCAGATACCACAGGACACCTTCAGAGGTCTTGTGGAGTCCAGATACCACAGGACACCTTCAGAGGTCTTGTGGAGTCCAGATACCACAGGACACCTTCAGAGGTCTTGTGGAGTCCAGATACCACAGGACACCTTCAGAGGTCTTGTGGAGTCCATGTCTCGCCGGGTCAGATAATTGTACACATGGAGGAGAGCAGCACCCTGGCAGGATCCGGGCAGTGAGCCGCTTCTTGGTTTATGGGTCCTGCTCAGCATCCCTTCATAATACACCAGTTTACTGCAACCCTTGTCCCAAATGTTAATATTCCTTAGGTGAAAATATCCTACATACTAGCAGGTCAGGATTAGTATTGCCACCAGAGGTACTACTACAGTTCTCCTGCCTTCTACTAGTGATACTAAACCCTAACCCTAAATATAGGAAAGGGTAGCAGGCCTGATAGTTCTTCATGGAGTAAGGTAATAATAATTAAACCATTTTACACACTGGGACTGGGTGATGGGTGGGAGATATTAGAAAGCATTTTCAATAAATCCGGGCCCCCTAGTTAAGCCTTAACCTCCACAAATCTCTAGTGACATTCTGGTTCAATTCAGGCATTGTGCATAAGGCATGGGTAATGGCTGGCAGTTGCTCCTCTATGAATAACTGCTCTCTTCCTGATGTGACTGATATAAACGTATTTCTGTAATGTTACTGGGTAAATTGAAGTCTGAGGTGATCTGCCTTTCAACACCACTGATGTACAGGAAATGCAGAAAATGTTAGTTTCAACATTTGTAGAGACCAAGCCAGCGCCAACTCAACCACCACCCCAGCAATTAAAACATACAACAAACTCAAAATCTTGGTTCGGATGTGTTCCTACTGCCCATACCCAAATCTATGCCCTTCTTTAGGAGGGAATCAGTCCTGCTGTGGCCTGGGGGGCTATGACAGCCACTATAAATAGTGACAGAGAAGTGTGAGTATGGCAAACTGTTACTGGACTCCCCCCAAGAGTTCTATCTGTCTTAAAAGGTTTCACAAAAGTCACAGAAAAAAGTCCTCTGACGAAAAGCTTTACCTTTGGCTGTTAGATCTGGAGAGTTTCCCCGCCCCCTCAATGGACAACAAAAAGTCATCGAGTGTCATACTGGAGAAGGTGAATTACAGAAAGTGAAGTGTTTCTGCGTCTCACGGCTTTATTAAATACTAACGGTAAGTTTTCAGCTTGTGCGTGTTTGTGTGTGTGTGTGTGTGTGTATATATATATATATATATATATATATATATACACACACACAGAGTAAAGATTCACATATCCATATTTCGCTAGTGTCGCAAATCGCGTTTAATAATTTTTACTTAGACATTTTTATTTTAGCCGGTGCGCGGATGCTGCTTATAAACGTGGTTCGATAAGCAGAGCATGCGACTTTTCACAGCGATTTATCTTAGAGAAGCAGATGACTTTCTGGCTTTCCATCGACGTACTTTCGGGTGTAACTGCTCTTGTCAGTGTTGCCGGTGCCGCTTGACATTTTATTTGCAAGTTTTGCTGGTCGGGAAATAGCTACGTCAGTCCATCATGTTTATGTTATTGACCTAATCGGTGCAAGTGATGCTTTTACCGGAGTCGCTGCCTCCTAGAAGCGGCGGGTTGTTGGAGATTTTCTGATGGGTGTTTTGGGATGTAAATATAGGTTGTTTAAGCATTTATGGCTCCGATTTATATATAAGATTAAAAACGTCACTGTCAAGTTGCTCTTCTCTGTGCGATTATAAAAACATTATTTTATTAATGTTGTTAATTTTGGATCTTGTAAATAATGCTTCAGTTGATGCTTCAGTTGGTTGTTTAAGCATTTATGGCTCCGATTTATATATAAGATTAAAAACGTGTTCCACTGTCAAGTTGCTCTTCTCTGTGCGATTATAAAAACATTATTTTATTAATGTTGTTAATTTTGGATCTTGTAAATAATGCTTTAGTTGATGATGAAAAAGTTTGATGATACTAATCTATATGTGTGTTAGAAGGATTTGATAGTGTAAGACATAAGCGGCCCACAGTTGACATTTGACTTGCCTTGAATTCTATTCAGTTCATTTTTTTTTTGTTCTGAGGGGACAATTTATAAACTTGCGGAGCAAAGTACAATACAGCAAATGAACAATTCCGGAAAAAACACGCACATATTATACGTAGGGGGTGAATTCAGGTATTGTGGGACATCAGGTAACGTGGGACAGTTAAGCTTATTTCCCGGCTAAAGTAGATCCAATTAGAATAGTTGTTATCGGGAACTGGTATAGAAAGCACATGATCCGAAAAGCACGGTTTTATTGGTCTGAGGTCACAGTTGAGGACGAGGAAAGCATTTTGGGGGAACGTCCCTCAGAAATCGGTCTAAGGTGAATGACATGTGCTTTTGATTGTATTGATATTAAGGTTAAAATGCATTGCACCTAATTTTTATGTAATTATGTCTATGATATACTACTGCAGTAAATTAAATACTTTAAATTGACAAAGTTCTATTAAATTTTTTAAATAGAGTTATTTTTCAGGTGTCCCAGTTTACCAAACTAATTAGGGAAAGTGGGACAGTATGTTTCAGGTAATTTGGGACAATTTTATAGGCTCCCAAGACGAGAGTAAGTACATGTTTGACAGGATGGAGTCCCAACTCCTAAATATATTCAGTAACTATACATAATATATAAATAATAATATTTATTCATTTATGAAATGGGAAAAATTTGCCAACTTGAATTTGTTAAGTTGTTTTAGTGTCTGATGGCACCAAGGCAGAGCGGCGGAAAAGAAGGTTAGAGAGGTGAAGGGGCAGGAGGACTAAATGATTTCAAACAACTGCAGTGTTAGTATAAGCTTTACATGTATTGGTTTAGGTATTTTCTACAAAACAAAATCCAAAATGAAATTAAATGGAATGGATTTTGACTTTTTTCAATGACTATTTTTGATAAAAAATAATCAACAATTAATGTTCAACTGTTCATTGAGCTGTTTTGTCTATTAAACTTGCAAAACCCTTTGAAAATTATTCAGTATTGATGTATTGCACCTATATTCGACATTGATGTATTAAATAATGTGAGTGTGTGCACCCTTCCGGTGTGTTGGCGTCTGCCCAGGGTTGGTTCCTGCCTGCGCCCATTGTTCCCGTGATAGGCTCCCCCCTGCGACCCCAGTTGGGATTAAGCGGTTTCAGACAATGGATGGATGTCTGGATGTATTAAATAAATGCCTGTCCCACATCACCAAACCGCCTGTCCCACATCACCAAACCGCCTGTCCCACATTACCTGAAATGCGTCCCACTTCACCTTACGGGTGCAGGGAGTGTATAGACTTGTATCACGGTCCCCATAAGCAAGAAATTTCATTTTTTTCTTTTGATGTGATAAGCAGACATCTTAAGGATTGCAGAAAGGTATCATATGTGGGTTAAGTAAATTAGGTTAATGTTTCAATGGGCACTAGAAATCAAAATGGCAAAAAATGTCCCACTTTACCTGGATTCACTATATTCCGGCCTGACACAAACTGACTTAAATAATTCCGCATTATGTCATGAAACTACACAGTTCACTGCACTCTGCAGTGCAATACATTAGCTGTGCAAAAAGGTTTGTGTTGTTTTGGAGTTGCCTTATAAACTGACAACCTTGTCTTTGCCTGTTTTAAATGTCATCTCATTATTGCTAAGTGCCTTTATATAAATTATGATGTAGCTTCAAGTATTGCAGAAAAACCTGGTATTGCTTTGTTATGCAACTTAATGCCAGTATCAACAACTAAACAGGAAAGTATTGAAACCCAGTCTTCCAATCAGGACAAAAGGGGGAGTTCAGGTCTGTCTGTGTTGATTTGACATTTTAAACTTTTACAGGGTTGGATGCTGGCCTAAGGCATCTCAAGAAATTCAGCATGAGGAATACAACCGAAGATGGAAAAATCGACTGCGAGATCAATCACATGATCCATCAATACCTATTCTGCGCCACCTACATCCTGGTCCTACTGATAGGCGTACCTACTAACCTGTACTCACTGTACCATGCCTGGCAGCAGACACGGGCAAGCAACCAGCTGGGCATCTACCTTCTCAATCTGACTGCCTCAGACCTGCTCTATCTCGCCTCGCTCCCCCTCTGGCTGCAATATTTCTTCCAGGATGACAACTGGACGTACAAAGAGTGGCTCTGCAAGTTGTGTGGCTTCCTGCTCTACCAGAACATCTACATCAGCGTGGGCTTCCTCTGCTGCATCTCCATCGACCGCTACCTGGCCATCGTCTACCCTCTGCGCTCCAGACGTTTCCGTACCATGCGGGCGGCCATGGTGACCAGTGCCGTCATCTGGCTGAAGGAGCTGGTGGTGGGCACGGTCTTCTTCCAGACCAAGGAGCTTAGCACAGACCGATTAAACCACTCCATTTGTTTTGAGCACTATCCCATCATGCCATGGGAGCGCGTCATTAATTATTACCGCTTCTTTGTGGGCTTTCTGTTCCCACTGGGCATCCTTTCTGTATCGTGCTTCTTAGTACTGCGGGTCGTGAGTAAGAGCACGGGCACTCAGGACGACCAGAAGATCCGCATCAAGCACCTGCTGACCGGTACAGTGGTGATCTTCCTGGTCTGTTTCTCCCCATACCATGTCATCCTGCTGCTGCGTACCATACTAGAGAAAGACTGCTTCTTTATCAGCAGCATATTCAACTACTACCACTTCTCTCTGATGCTCACAAGCTTCAACTGCCTGGCTGACCCGGTGCTATACTGTTTCGTCAGCGAGAGCTCGCGGCGGGGTGTGCGTCAAACGCTGACCACATGCACCGAGTTCTTAACATACCGCCGTCGGGGGAACTGCGGCATCTCCAGCAAGTCCCCCTCCTCGAAGGAGAGTGGGACCTCCTTCATCCCACTGCAGTCCAAGATCAAGGAGGTGGGGAGGATTGCTGAGAACACAATAACGGTTACAGCATCTCTGAACTAAGGGATGTCAAAGCTACTGGATGGCAAAGCTAAGTCTTTGCTAGCTGACAAGACATTAAGTAGCAACTGAGTTACAATGTTATTCTTCATGTAACTGACTGGGGAGTGACACTGTGCCTCTGGAGTTCCCATAATCTTCCACTGTCTGTTGGGCTTTCCTACCACAGTACAAAACCATGGTTTTTAAGTGAATTTGTGTCTCTAAAATTCCCCTAGTGTGCGCGTCCTCTGCCAGCTGGGATAGGTTCCAGGTTCATCATGGTCCTCTACTGGATAAGCGTTTATGATAATATATGATGATGGATGCAAGAATTCCAGCAGGGCATTTTCCTCGGGGTACAAAACCCTTGCTATACCTCATCCCATCTTTGTTATTCTAAATGAAAGTCACATTTTTTTTTCATTTGCAAAACTTGAAAACTGCTTGACCTCATTAGGTAAATGTTTTCACATCACGGTCTTCTGCATCTGCTCCTGGATGTTGTCTCCAGGCAAAGAGCTGATAAAAACTGACTGATGTTAAGATAAATAAGGTCTTTTATCTGCTGTTTGTGTAAGTTGCAAGAAAAATCTTTGTTGTTCACATTTCCTTTCTTGCCTGCCATGAAACATGCATATATAGGTGAGAGTGACACTTGGGATCACAGTGTAGAGTCAGCCATTTACCAGACATTCCTGGAGCAGTTTCTGGGATTTGGGGCCTCGCTCAAGCACCCAGCCGTGATCACTTTGCCAGGCACAGGATTTGAACCAGCAACCTTCCAGACATGGGTCTCATATCCTTAGCTAAACTACTCGGTGTTACCATGGAAGTTGTTCTCTAGACTCTATTTGTAGAGAAACTTAAGAATGAATGTTTTGTCATCCACATTGCTCAATGGCAGCTCATTTCACCACACCCACGAAGGTCAGGAAAATCCACGTCCCTTACGACAGAGAAACACTTCGTTCATTTTGGGCTAGCTGTGTCATGAAGGGTACCTCATTATCTGATCAGTCCCTGATGTTCTCTCACCCTAATGTTCTCTCACCCTAATGCTCTCTCACCCTAATGATCTCTCACCCTAATGTTCTCACACCCTAATTATCTCTCACCCTAATGATCTCTTACACTAATATTCTCTCACCCTAATGTTCTCTCACCCTAATGTTCAGTCACCATAATGATCTCTCACCCTAACGTTTTCTCGCACACAGCTCCCCAATATTGAGCTAAACTTCCACCAAAATGAATAATTAGTAACTTTGGGGCTGGAGCTTTTAACAAGTTCCAACAGAAACGGCAAAAAGTCATCGGCAGGAAATACCCACAGAATGTCCGGGTTAGTAGCACTTTTGGGTCACAAGTGACTCCTGTGACGGGGATGTATTACAAAGCGAGAAAACGGGTCAAACGTCAGAAGGTGATGTGCCAACGTCATGTGCTGGTTGGCGTGGTGAGGGAGACGGCAGCAGTGCCGGCAGCTTGGGGATTCACTGCTCTAAACGTGTGATGGTATCCCGTTAAAGTCAGCCACTGCGGGACTTCTGCACTTCTCACGCGTGACTCATGCTTTGAAGGTGACACTGTAACAGATGCACAGGTCTGTAGGAAAATGTTAGTTCTGCATTAATGGAATAAAATGGTTTTGTGATGCACTTAAAGATGCTTGCATGGTGTGAGTAACTAAAACTGTATGCCTGAGTGATGAAATAAATCTGTGTACTGATCTTTTTTGTGCTTGTGTTTCTCAGGAAATATGTGGGTTTTTCGTGTCTGTGGGCAGCTATGTTCACAGCCATGCTTTTCCTGTAGCCTTGTGCCCATCACACTGCAGTGTCTGTTTTATTTTTTCAGACTTAATCAAATAATTGAATGTATTCACTGCCGGTAATGCGTGAGAGGCATTTCTTCATTTCTATGAAAAATAAAGTTTAAACAATCTCCAGCCAAATAATCCTGACGATGTAGGATCTGGACGTGTCAAGCTGTGGGGTATATATAATTACTGTTGTGTTCTGTTACCATTCATTTACGCAGCTTTGAGGCAGAACAGTGAGTCACACTCTAGCCTCCTGCCTGCAGGTTTGGGGAATCCCGCCTCCATTCTGTGTTTATAGAGCTTGTATGTTTTACTTATATCACAAGGGTTTCCTCCAGAGGTGGATAGTTCAGGTACAGAAAGTAAACATCCAGACCAAGACTTTGTTTCAACCCAGCAGTTGAGCATAAAGAGTCACAGTCACAGAGTACTCAACTGGTTGGTTGAAACAAAATATTGGTCTGGATTTTTACTTTCTGGATCTGAGCTCTCCACATCTGGTTTTCTTCTGCCGTCCAAAAATGTGCAGTCAAGCTAACTGTAGAGCAAATTTACAAAAGTCACTCTGTCCATTTTTTGTTTTTGTGACCACAAATACCCTAAAGTCAGGCTTCTTTGTCATATGTTACATTATTGGGAACCAAAACTTAGTCCTCATCTAATCCAACAAAGACCTCTAGTTAAATTTCCATAGAAATTTTCTCGAAAACGTATTTCATGGACTGAGTGAGTTTTGGAAAGTTGCCTGCAGTGTGTACTGGAATAGACTGGCATCCTGTCTGGGGGGTTGCCCCAAACTGTCTTGAACAGACTCCAGTGACCCTGAGCAGGATGAATGGTTGATAGACATAAGCAGCTATATATATGGGAGAGGTGGGCAATGATTTGGTCCTAGATAGGGTAAAGATATTTAAACCCCTGCAATACTGTATGGCTTGACAGTAGAGTAGTGACCACTTACTACCACAAGGTCAACATACCTTTCACAAATGTATGTTTTAAGGAAGCTGGTGGCCTAATGTTTAGGAAACTCGACTTGCAATGAAGGATGCAGTTTTCAGTGCCTAGAGAGGAAGAGAAGATGAGGAAGGGTTAGGGTTAGGGTTAGCACAGTAAATAAAATCTGCTCTGTCCCTGTGCATCTATGATATTTTCCCATTGCAACTATTGCCAAGAATCACTGCTGGACATTTGTTAGTATGAACCATCTCCACAAGATGCCTTTGTTTAGTGATAGGTGAGAGGGCCTCACCAGCGCAATGGAAATCTCCCCCCATCTTCCTCCTCATCCTGTTGTTTAGGGTTATGAAGTTGTCACTCCAACATCTAACTCTAGCAAGTTCCCACAGCCCCTAATCTCCCTGTCGATGCAGCCCGAGACACAGAAGACATCTGCAAACTTCTGCAGATGACAGACCTCCAAGTTACATGTGACATTCGAGGCATAAAGTGTGAACAGAAACAGTGAGGTACTGCTGCCACGTGACCGATATCCTGTCAGCTGCTGTTTGTGGATATTATGTGAAGCTTCTAACTACATTATGGCCATTCAGATGTGGGGAAAAAAGGCAAAAAAAAGAACATTGATATATGATGAAATCTTCATTGCAAATGGAAAGTTCTTGGGTGGAAGAGAGAAGTACAAACAAGGCAGCCATTTCTCAAAAATATTGTAAGATTTAGAAAACTGCTGAATATCAAATATTATTTTTGACTCCAGTTAAAACATAAGTTCCAAACAAACTGTTGGGTCATTGCTGAAAGAACAGCTAGTGTAAACATGTTTTACCAAATTGTGTTATTTGTGGTGAATCCACAGTGAAAAACAATCAGGCGGTTAACTGATAAACGCGAATGTTTTTCTCACTAGTCTCACTTAAAGCTCATGCCATGTGTCTACAGGTATTAAAAAGTGTACAGCTGAAACAGTGAAAGGAAGGCTTTTTTTAACATGTGAAAATAATTTTCATATATCGTGTGCAACATATCATACAACATTGTACTTTGTGAAAATTCTGATATACAATAAACAATCTAAGGAAAATAGGTTGCAGTTCTGAAAACAGTTTGTTACCTACTACGTGAGCTATCACACGCATGTTAATATTGATTTAATAGCTCAAAAGAACAGACATGGATTTGGCAATATAACTCTTCTTACATTATAGGTGTGTATCAGATGTACAGTAACACTGTCCTTGATTGCACAAAGAAATAAATAAATAAATTTGTTGCTGGATCTTTTTATAATGTCTGGATCTTGTTAATAATTTATGGCTGAAATACTGCTACACCACACAGCTCAGTTGAGACTTACTTGTCTCCAGATTGTATTTATTAACATGCTTGATGCAGCGGTCAGTACAAATGTAATGATAAAAGGGTTGTGGGGACATACACTCACCTAAAGGATTATTAGGAACACCATACTAATATGGTGTTTGACCCCCTTTCGCCTTCAGAACTGCCTTAATTCTACGTGGCATTGATTCAACAAGGTGCTGAAAGCATTCTTTAGAAATGTT